CCCCCCCCAGATTGAGGGAAAACTGGATGGTATAAAGCATCAGCAGGTGTTTCGTGGGGGGATGAGCTTCTCAGCGGGAATGTGATCCAAAGCATCATGGAGCTCGAGAAGATCTGTCAGAAAAGACAGGAAACGGCTTCATGCTCATACAGGGTTACACTCTCTAGGAAAGTTAAAGAAATAATTCCCCCCCCTCTGAAAGTCACCAAATATTGAGTTTATCACCTTGCAAAGTTTACAGTCAATATATATATGGTGTTTTGTCCCATCTAGAATTTACAAATATTTATCTTGCCTTTGGATTTTATTAGTTTGAACATTTTTAACATTTAAAAATAAAGTACTGATTCAGGTCAGCACCACAGTTCAGGCTTCCGGGTCGCCTCTGTGCCCCCCCCCCCCCCAGGCTGCTGCTCTTCACGTTGTAAACAGTTGGGGTGGTGTAATCTGAGACCTACACTTCAGGAGTTACTATTAGAGAGAGAGAGAGACCGAGAGAGAGAGAGAGAGAGAGAGACAGACCGAGACTGCAGAGTATGGGGGGGGGGGATTGAGGGACTGTTATAGCTGCCTGTCTTTTTAGTTGGTACAATTGCACCCACCCCCACCCTGGCTCGTTCTCTGTTGCAGTCCCACAGCTTAGGCTGAGGTTGTCGTTCTCTCTGGCCCCCAGGTCCGGTGGCTTGGGTCGTTTGATGGTAACGCAGTCACGGTATTTTAAAATCTTGCCAAAAATTTTGCTGTTTGAAGAAACATATCATGGGGACACCCCACCCCACCCCACCACTTGCCGAGTTTAATAACGGGGGAACCCAGGTGGACAGGGTGTCACCTTTGTTTTTCTGAGTGCTCCGCCCTGCCTGTTTGGGGCTCTGCATCTGACGTCTGGGGCCCCTTTACTGCCAGGTAACCGTTCCCTCATAAAACGGTCAGTGGCTCTTGGCATATGAAACACAAAAGATCCCAGGCTTGACAGTGTTTGAGTGCATTTTTTGTCACTTAGAAAGCACTTTTTCCCCATGATGCACCAGTGCAGTACGGGTGCATGTAATAACCACACAGCCTCCCAGGAATTATTGATTCTAAGTATCCAAACTGATTTGAGTATGAAGAAATCTCATTTGTTAGGGATCTGTTTGTTTCAGCCTGAGGTTGGCTGTGGCCACAGGCATCCCATCCTGGGTCGCCCCAGACATCTGGGATACGTAATATAAACACAATACTAGTCGAGTTTGGACTCCCACTAATACTGTGAGCATCAGCTACGAAATGAGATGCATGAAATTTTGAAGTGTTAAACCAATCAGAACTTGTCTTATATTTTCAATGATTCTGAGTAGCCTCCTCTGCCTTCTTGAAAGCCTTCATCAGGTGGTCACTTAGGATGCCTGTCCAGTAGTATCCAGCGACGTCCCACCAAAGCTGAGCTCTTATTGGCTGTTTTTCGCTCTCCATTCCAAGTGATCCACACCCATTGGCCACTTTACCAGGTACCCCCTACATAATACCGGGTAGGATCCCCCTTTTGTCTCCAGAGCCACTTCATTGGTTGGAGAGACATCTTGTACTTTAGTGTTGTAGCGAGCTGCTGTTTTCGCACTTGTGGCCATTCTCCCCTGTCCCCTCATTACCAGAGAATGTTCAGCAACAGAGCAACGAGTGGCTTCGCGTTCTTCATTTACTGCGCTATCCTCTAAACTCCGGACACCAGCGCATAACAATCGCTGCACTGGGGCTGTTTCTGAGATGCCTAGTTTGACATCGACAGTCAAAGCTGAGTGTAAAGTCACTGAAGTCGTGCAACTTGGCCACAATGTAAGTGAACCTCCTGACTGTCAGTGGGCGGTATGTGTGCAGGTGCAACACGATTGGCTGTTTGGAGAAGCAAGCTGTTTGCGTTAAGGAGCAGGTGTATCTAATAAAGTGTGTCTCAGCGTCTGCCCTGTGCTACCGGAGATGTGCACCTGGCCCCCTTGTGGTCCTGACCAAGATAAGCGCCCGACATGGATGGATGGATGCTGTTTTTGTGTTTACGACAGATCAAGTACAGACATGAAACGGAAGATAGCCATCTCGTACTCCAGACATCTTGGTCTAAATATAACGCAGTCGCACATTGTCTGCTCTTTGAAAGTGAACCAAAGGGCCTGTCGCCGGAGGGACACTTAATTCCGCGTTTTGGGATGGCAAACTGCCCCTATAGCCCCCTGCTTCTAATTGCCTTTAGTAAACAGGTGATAGGCGTTCATTCGTGGTTTGGACTTTGTTTACCCTTAGGTGACGACTGTACACATACCGAGTGTTAAAATGAGGGTTTGACCCCCCCCCCCGAAGTTAATATATTCATGAGCATATATACACAGGCGGGCACCAGTGATCCAGATACTGTCCCGCTTTGTGGTTTGTATGCCCGGCACACAATTAACCAAAGTAGCTGCGTGTGGGATATATAATTGGGCGGTGTGTGGTTCAGTGAGTTAGGGTGCTGTGCGTATGATCGGAAGGTCACAGGTTCGAATCCTGGAGTCAGCAGAGTGATTTTACCATTGGAGCCCTGAGCACGGCCCTTGCTTCACGGACTGTCTGATAAAATCATATGTTAAAGTGTAATGTGACGATTAAACTTCTAATCAGAACTGATACCAGAATTAAACCCTATTGAAAAGGACCGCTGTGTTTCAGCAGTGTTCAGGATCAATGCTCAGGCCTGTTGTTTGGTTGAAACTCCCATTAAAATGACTGAACTCTCTAGGACTGAAAATGGCTCATAGTTAATGCTGCAGGGAATCAGAGAACCATGCTGTCTGTCTCCCTGACCCACCCCACCAATAATACCCCCAGGGACCAGCAATTATACAACACAGTATGTGCGGATTTGTAAACACGCGAGCACATGGCAGCTGTCGGCGGTGTCGGTGCTGAAAGCCGCCCTGCACTGGGATTTATATGTCTGTCTGATCAGCTCAGTTACATCTGGATGGACTCGTCTGCTTAAACAGAGGCACCGGACACAAGAGACAGAGAAATGTAAGAGTGAAGTCCAGAGTTCAAACTGGGACAAGGAAAGAGGGTTTTCCCCCTCTGTGTGTCATCCCTCCTCCATATTTAATTCTGTTTCATTTTAAAAGGCATTTTCGCTCTCTTTGACTCACACACGTACAGTGTTTCACTTCCGTATTTGTGGGAGGTGCCGTTGATACTCACCACCGATGATTTGGCCTCGTCACAACTTTTCTAAGTGTTTTTTAAGACTTGTTTTTGTGGGGTCACACCAGCGGGTGTTTCTTTTTGAGGAATCGCTGTGGTGGGGGGAGATGGCGAGGGAGGGGGGTGTTTGTGAGAATATTTAGCCCCACGGAGATGTCAACCTTGAGTTTGCGCTTAGCGTTTGACTGACGTTGTCAGTGAGGTCAGTGAAGGGGACACAGAGACACTCATTCTGGTGTTTGTCTTCTACGCCTTTTACCGTCCAGCAAAAACAGCCGTCTGCAGCATCCCATGGGCAGGAGGGCTAATGGAGACGGGGGAGTGGGCGTGTTTAGCCACGGTAGCGCCTAAGTGATGAATAATCTCTCCGCTGGGCTCTCCTGTACTGCACTGCCTTCGTTTGAGGAAACAGGATTCCTCACAACTTCCTGGAAGCACTGAGACGCTTCCTTATTTCCTGCTCTGATGAGCGAGGACCTCTTAATTGTACACATACTAATTAATGTGGCTGCATGTTTTGCTGATTCTGGTGCAGGTATTTGACCGTAGGCTGTCTCTGTGTGTGGTGATGTCTTACCATGCCCCCCCCCCCCCGCCTTTTATTTACTCCCCTCCCCCTTTCGTTTCAGACTATAGAGGAGCCGCCTTATTTGACCGTCGGCACTGATGTCAGCGCCAAGTACCGCGGCGCCTTCTGCGAAGCCAAGATCAAGACGGCCAAGCGGTTGGTGAAAGTCAAGGTAAGCCAGCCTGACTGCGGCTTGCATCGCCGGTAGTTGGTGGCGCCACCCAGTGGATTGGAGGCTCATTTTGCATGGATCACACTTCAGCTGGTCACACAGGAAGAGGCACACAATGGCATCTGCAACAGCCTCTGGTGTAGTGAAACCCAGACCAGTCCCATCATAGCCAACTCCCAGATGCCCCCCCCCCCCCCACTGGAGATTTCCCTCAGGGCTGGAGGAAACTCGATTATTATTATTTTTCCCCACTGCACGGCTGACAGTGCCTCAGATGAAGCTCTTTCAAGCCGTGTTCGATTCGGGCTCAGAACGGCGCTGCGTAATTACGGGATTACGAGTAACTGAGCCCCAGAAATGACTCACGCTAATTCTGTAATGAAATTGCCAGGCATTAATAAGGAAGGAATGGGAGTTTTAAATAGTTGGCAAATGGGCTCTTTAATGTCCTTCCACAAGCCACAAAGCTGTCCTGTCCCTTTCTGAGCATTCGGGGGTGTTACAGAAGGGCGACTGAGGTCAGGGATCGTCACTGCGTCCGGCTGCTGGTTTGGGGCTGTTTTGGCTAAGTTAATTCCCCCCCCCCCCCCCCCCCCCCCCCCGCCGTGATGTATTGATCTCCCGGCCATATGCTGCAGACTTTGTGTGTGTTTGAAGAACAGATTAAATAAATCTACACACTCTGTGTCTGACAGGGCTGCCTAACTACTCTAAGCTCTGCACAGCCGTTATCTGGGGGAGGGATGTGTCGGGATGTGTCGATCACCAAAGGAGAAGGCTCGGCCACTTTTTTTTTTTTTTTTTTAGCCAAATTAAAAATAAAAAAAGCCAAGCATCAAAGCAGGGATACAACATAAATCAAAGCAATGAGTGCAGAGATT